ATTTTAGAACTCAAAATGTTATAAAAGGAATGTTGAAAATGAAAAATAAATAAATAATTAAAAAATTATTGTTAAGTAGAATTGAACACATTATATAGTGAATACATCTACTCAAGTTGAGTAGTATTCTCCTTAGTATGGGCTATCACTTGGCCTGTGATTAAATGATCAGTGGTAAGACCCCACACTAGCACATATTTTTCACTGTTTACTCTTTTGTCTTTATAACCCTGGCACATACTTTGTGCATAGCAGGCATTGAATAAATATTTATTGAATTCAATTGACTAGAGGAAGTCAGCCCTGGATACAGCCCAGAAATAGAGTGCCTTAGGTAGCAAAAAGAAGGCACCTGAGCTAGGGCAGGTGAGAGAATCCAAAAAAATGTTCTTATACTTTGAATTTTTGCCTAGGATTTGGCCCTGGATTGTTAGTTTACTTCTCATTGGGAAGTCAAAGCTTGCCTATGCACCCTAGGCATTTTATCAATGAAAGAGAAGAGAACAAAAGAGAATTTAATAAAGGCACAATAATAGATGCTAAGGATAAAAAAGACAAAAAAACTTTACTCTCAAGGATCTTAGAGTCTCAAAAAATAGAAAAGAACAGAAACACGTGTAGGCGGTCTTTCAAACTAATTAGGGAATTTGAAGAGTGGAAGATGGAGAAAAGCAGCATGTAATCAGAGAAAGTCTCCAGAGAAACTTTTTCACAGCAGCCCCTGAAAGTATATGCAATACATTTCACCAAAACAGAGGAAGGAGATCAGTCCCTTGGCTTGGGAAGAGAGTTTCCAATTAATTTTTAATCTATCTTTGCATGCCCTTTATTAAATATAATTTTATCGCATCATGATCTGAAAAGGATGCACTTAATATTTCTGACTTTCTGAATTTGATTGTGAGGTTTTTATGCCCTAATGCATGGTCAATTTTTGTGTAGGTGCCATGTACTGCTGAGAAAAAGGTATAGTTCTTTCTATCCCCATTCAACTGGGAAGAGATTTGAAACCAGGAGTAGATGAGGTGAGCAGTTATGTAGGCACAGTTTATATATGTGGATAAAATGTGTGATATATATGTCACATATATGTCATTATATGTATGATATATATATATGTGTGTGTCCATATATATATCTTTTTATAAATACATGTATTTAGTGCCAGAAAATTCTAGTTCCATGGGTACAGCAAGTTAACATGTTTTAGTGGCTAGTTAGTGGTGGCAAGGTGACATTGCAGATAATTGGTAGAGCACTGGACTTGCACTCAGAAAGACCTGAATTCAAATTTGTCCTCAGACAATTATTAACTGTATGACCCCAGGCAAGTCACTTAACCTCACTTTCCTCATTTATAAAATGGAGATAAAAAGAGGTTTGTGAGGATAAAATGAGATAATATTTGTAAAGCATTCTGCAAACCTTAAAGTATTAAATAAATGCTAGCTGTCATCATCATCATCACTATTAATGCTATAGGTGACATAGAGCCCTGGACTTGGAAACAAAAAAAACATGGGGTTAAATCCTTCCTCAGATACTTACTAGCTGTGTAACTCTGAGTAAAGTACAAACCTTAGGTGCCCTCGGTTTTTTCATTTGTAAAATGGGAATAACATAGCATGTATCCCACAGGGTTGTTGTGAGGATTAAATGAGACAATGTATGTCAATTGTTTTGTCCTGTACCTGATTTCTACTTAGAACAGTGAATACTTTTCCCCAGAAGGCTCCTCTTAAGGGACAGCTTAGATATGAACTGTATCTATGTGTTGTTTTAGATATTATGTAAAATTGTAGGGGAATGATAATCCAGAGAGATGGAGCCTCACCTTTCCTCCCTTTGGGGTCAGTTCTGCCACAGGACAAACTTAAACTGTGTGACTCAGAGCCCCCTTTGTGGAAGGACCCCTTCTCTGGGTCATGGGTGATAGAGCTTACATTTATATTATGCGTTAAGGTTTGAAAAATGTTTTGTAGCTATTAGTCTCATTGATCCTCGCAAAAATCTTGTGAGGCAGTGACTGTCATCATTCTTTTTTTACTGATAGGGAAACTGACTCAGGGAAGTTAAGAGACTGCTCAGGGTTGAACAACTAATATTTAAAGAAAGATTTGAACTCAGGTCTTCCTGAAAATTGGGCTACATAGGTCACTCTAGGGCAGGGGCTCTTAATCTTTTGTCTGGTTCAACCTATAGACCCTTTCTCAGAATAATGTATTTTAAATAATAGAAAGGAATGCTAAAATTCAGTTAGAGATCAGTGAAAATTAAGACCTAATATTTTTCCTGTTCAAGTTCACAAACCTCTGAAATCTGTCTGTAGACCACAGGTTAAGAAATCCTGTACTAGGGATTTGGGAAGTAACAGGAAATATTTTATTTGGCTTTATTTTGTTTTAACTTAGAACACTTGGTTATGAAATGAATATATTTGGAAAGCACTGCACATTTTCTCAAAAATCTTTCCTGGTTCCCTATTGCCTCTAGGATAAATTACAAATCTTGACATTTAAGATTCCCAATTCTGACTCCCACATACCTCTCTAGCCAATTCATATTACTGTACTCTCTTTCATGTGCTCTCTGTTCCAGTTAAGCTGGCATGCTAGCTATTCCCCATACAGCACCTCTCATCTCCTGCATTTGTATCTTTACACAAGTGTTCCCTCAAAGCACAACCCAGGTGCCATTTCCTATAGGATGTACATACCTATTAAGAAGGAGTTTGTCCCCAACTTTTTTTATTTTTTAACAAATGTTTATTACCTTTTACTTTTACATCAGTCATTTCAAACTCTCCTTTCCCTCCTTCCCCTCATTAAACCTTCATTAATGACAAAGAAAAACCATTAAGCAAAATTATCTAGGACATTCATTGGTTTTTCAAAGTTTTTAGGGTTTGATTTCATTTTAGTGATTTTCTCATTCTTACTGTTGCAGTCATTGTGTTTGATAATAGTATTTAAAGCTGTGTGATTCTGGGCAAGACACTTAATCAAGACCTCAAGGTCTTAGATTCTTCAAATGTTAATGTCCATTTCTGCTCTAAGAATGGATGTTCAAAATATACTCAAGGAAGTCAAGATTCAGCACTTGTGAGTTTTGGGACAGATAGATATTACCACTAGGGGGCAGCCAAAGCCTACACTCTTGAAATGGCATCTCTGGAATTTGATCAGAACAGGAACAAAAGTTTGGGTGAAAGAGCCTGGTTGGATACTTTGGGGTACAGGAAGCACCATGAACAGTTTATTTTCTACATAATCAGAGGACTAGAAAGTCAATTGTAGATATGTAGGAAGTTAGGGCAAAAGACAAAAAAACCCCAGCAAGCTAGCATTTCACCAGAAATGAGCATATGGCGCTTATTCAGGGTTGTGAGCAATAAAAGAGAGATTCCTAAGGCATTCTGGGCTCATTCTAGGGTGGGATCACTAGAATTTGGAACCTTTCCCTCCCGTTTTAGTTGTATTTGTTACTCCATCATCATATCACTCAAATTATTAGGTCTAACCCTGAAGAACTACTGCTGTATTATCACAGGGGCTAGGGGGATACTGCTCTCACTCCCTGTTCTCTACCAAGCATACAGTTTAGACGAGTTTAGTCCTGGTGTAGACTGCTTTGAATGGATACCTTTTTTATTTTGTATCCTCAGCACTTACCACAGTGCCTGGCACTTAATAGGCACTTAATGTTTGTTGACTGACTGAGAGGGCCACCCTTTAAGTCACCTGTTCTGGAACGGTGCCCTGGGGACAATTTTACTAATTGGCTCACATCTAGGTCTCCTCAGAAAGAAGTAAGAAAGATATACAATGCACAACATGAATTAGGTATAAGCCAAATAATTTATTCCTAATACAAAAGGAATGCTAAACATGGGATACGTGCACATATTTGACAAAAATAAACTTAGAACAGGATTCAGTATCTTAACTTAAAATTAATGTTAACAATTTGCTAGAAGGCTGTTACTTAAACCTTATCAGAACACAGAGCCCTGTGCAGGACTGCCAATTAGGCAGTCAGCTTCAGCCTGAGCTGTCTAAACAACTCCTGCTCCATGTCTATTGGTAAATGACCGGGCTTGGCCCAATCTTCTTATCAATGGCCATTGTCCCCTAAGAGTGCTGAAATAGTTGCTGGGTACTCAGAACTAGAGAAACTGAGAGTTGGAAGGAACCTTGGTGACCATTAGTCTAACTCATTACACAAAGGAATTTCTCACCATAAAATACCCAATGAATGGTCACCCAGTTTGAAGAACTCCAAGGAAGAAGAACTTACCACCTCTTGAGGCAAGCCATCATCATACTTTTGGACAACTCAGATTGTTAGGGAAGGTTTTCCTGACATCAAGCCCAAATTGGTATCCATGTGGTTTCCTCCCATTTTCCTGATTCTGTCCTCTGGAGTTCAGCACATGACAGAAGATTTGAGGGGGAAGAAGAGGGACGTGATAGCAGTGTTAAACTACCATGTTACCTCTACCAGAATCTTCTTTTTTCTAAACTAAACGTCCCTTATTCCTTCAACTGATTTTACTAGGTCATGAATTCAAGGCTCTTCACTCTATTGGTTGTCTTCCTTTGAACACAGTGCAGTTTATGAGTGTCCTTCTTAAACCATGACACTCAGAATTAAACACAAATCTCCAGATAAGGCCCAATAGGGGCAGAACACAGTGAAATTATCACCTCCCTTTCTTGGAAGCTCTGACCCTCCTAACATAGCCCAAGATTACATGTTTTGGCTGCCACATCACACTGCTGACTCATTGAGCTTGTACTCCACTAAAAAAATCAAAACCCTAGGTCCTTTTCGGTTCAACTGCTGTCATTCAATTCCAACCCAGTAAGACTCAGGGCCACTAAGCCTCTCAAACTTAGAAAGTTCATCTTGGGACAGATACTTCCAAAGGTCGTTGTAAGAATCAAATGAGATAACGCATGTAAAGCACTTTGAAAATCTTAAAGGCATTATATAAATGCAAGCTATTATTATTATTATTATTATTATTATTATTATTATTACTTGTTGCCTAAATTTAGGGAAGAAGAACAAACACCAAAGAGGCATCCCAAACCCAGGCTCAGGTTTGCCTAGGCAGGATAAGTGTTTTAGCTGCCTTGATCTCACAAACACAGTGAGGTCTGGGGCATGGGATGAGGATAGCCACCCCCAGCACATCCAATTCTCAAGAAGCAATTTGAGATAGTTAGTCCTGATGCAATTTGACATGATCTTCAGCCAGAAAGGAAAACCAAGGACAGGTTGCTCTCTTTTGCATACACTGAATCATCAGCCAATAAGGAGGCTCTCTGTCATCTCAAAGTCCAAACCCTTCAGCAATAAGTATCTGAAGACCAGAAGCAGCACTCCCCCTCCTCCAAAGCTTCCCTGTGGTCATCTGGAAACAGGAATAGCAACTTTGAGCTTGTCCTATAGAATAGCCCCCACAATACAGGAAAAATAAAGTTTAGAGATGAGGAGGTCAAAAGAAATTTAATAATAGTAACCATAAAATAATAATAATAATGATAACATTTACATAGCATCTACTATGTGCCAGGTTCTATGCTAAGTACTTTCCTTGTGTGACTACAGGTAAGTGGCGTCACCTCTTTGGGCCTCATCTCCACCTCCTGATTTCCTTCAAGTTCCAGTTAAGATCTCACTTTCTACAGGAAATCTTTCCTGATCCCCTTCAATTCTAGTGCCTTTTCTCTGTGGATTACTTCCTATTTATCCTGTATTTAGCTTGATTGTACATAGACTGTATGTATGAGCTCCTTGGGAGCAGAAACTGCCTTTTGCTTTTCTTTGTAACCCTAGAACTTAACACAGTACCTGGCACATAGTAGGTGTTTAATGCTTATTCATTGACTGACTATTTTCTCATCTTTAAATGAAGAAGTTGTACTAATCGGTTCCAAGGATTGTCCAGATCTGCGTCCTAGAATTCTATGAAAACATTTTTTGAATCAGTGGAAGAGTACTAAATAGACTGGGAATCCTCTAATCTTCCCTCATCTCTTCTCCTCTCTACCCAGACAATAGAGGCCATTTCTAGAAAACTCTGAATCTTCTAATTATTCATTAGCACTGCCCAGTCCTAAGAAGATAATTCTCATTTATTGCTACTCACCTGAGTCAAGTCGAAATACATATATTGGGTGACTAGGGGAAAACAAGTGCTAACTTTGTGTGCCTTTTAATTAATCAATCAACTAATTAGCATTTATTAGTCGCTTATTGTGTGCTAGACACTGATGGTACAAAAACAAAAATAAAACAGTTTAGTTACAATCTTTTGGGGAAACAAACATGTACACATGTAAGTAGATACAAAATATATAGAAAGGAGTTTGGGGTGGGGGGAGGACCTTAGCAACTGGGGATCAGGAAAGGCTTCATATATATAGGAGGTGGCATTTGAACTGACTTTTTAAGAAAATTAAGGATTCTAAGATGCAGAGATGAGGAGGAAGTGCATTCCATGTATAGGAGTCAGCTTGTGCAAAGGTACAGAGATGGGAAATTGAATTAGATGAGGGACTGAAGCTTAGGAAAGAGACTAAGACTAGATTTCTAGATCTGGGAGTCATCTGTGTAGAGATGATAACTGAACACATAGGAGCTGATGAGGTCATTGAGAGAAGAGAGTCCAGGACAGACCCTTCTTTTACAAGGAAGGAGGGTGGGTAGGTGGCTGAAGATCGTATTTATTTGCCAGGCTGCCTGAGTAAACACTCAAAAAGTAGATGATGAGTCCTACCAGGAAAAATCCCTGGAATCTTGGCTGAAGCCAAAGCTGCCTCCACATTACAACTTCTCCCTTTCCAGCACAACTGCCTCCAGTCCCCAGCAGCTAATACGCCCTTTTCTGTTTTAGATTTCATACAGCATATGTTTCTGTGATCCGTGCCCTTTCCATAGGCTGACTCTTATTCCTGGAATGCTCTTCTTTCTTGCCCTTATCTCTAGGAACCTCTTTGTTGTTGTTGTTAAGTTGTTTAGTCGTGTCTGACTCTGTGACCCCATTTGGGCAAGATACTCACTGGAGTGGTGTGTTATTTTCTTCTCCAACTCATTTTACAGATGAGATAATTGAAGCAAACAGGGTTAAATGACTTGGCCAGGGTCACACAGCTGGTACATGTCTGAGGCCAAATCTGAACTCACGTCTTCCTGATTCCAACCCTGGTACATTGTGCTACCTAGTTGCCCTCAGAACCTCTAGCTCTCTTCAAATCTCAGCTCAAGTAGCATTTCCTACAACAGGCCTTTTCTGATTCCACCAGTTAGGACTGCCCCCTCCCTCCAAAAAATACCTACTTTGGATTTATTTTTTATTTACCCATTCATCTATGTGCTATTTCCTTTATATAGAATGTAAGCTCTCTGAGGGCAGGGACTCTCTTGGTTGTGTGCTTGTATCTGTGTCTAGAACACTGGCTGGCCTATATAGATGCTTAATAGATTGAACTGAATCACCTTGTCAACTCCAAGCTCTGCCCAAGTCAATGGATTATGCTGCTGATCTGTTGTGAATTGTACTGTGTTCCTATCATCTGGCCCTTCAAAGGAACACAACTTTTGTACCAAATAAGGAAACAGGAAGGCTTCAACAGTTGCACACTGACTTCATATTTCCTTTTCAGGACTTTTTCAGTATTTTTTTCCGCTGCGGGAATGAAGATGAGACTGATCAAGCACATAGCTAATATAATCCATTCATTTCTCTGGAACCCAGAAAAATTACATGGGAGAAGGAGTCAGCTCTTCCCTTCAAAAGAAACAGAAATCCCCCCTATCCCCACCCTGGGACTTTGCTTCCCATAGAATCTTCCCCCTCCAACTCCCACAAGGGGCTCATTGCTTGGCTTCTGAATTGGAACCTTGGGGCTCTTTGCTATTATCTGGGGATGTTTTCTGTTTTGTTCAGATCTGTGATTTCATTGATGTGTGGAACTCTGGGTAAGGAAACTTTGTCTACCAATGCCCATTGGCAACTGTTCTGTAGCTAGTAGTATTAGAGGGCTGTCTGGGAGAACTAGGAGAGATTAAATAACTTGCTTTGGGTCAAATGGCCAATGTGTATGTTTTCATGTGTGAGGAAAGACTTAAATCCAGGTCGTCCTGACATCCTGGTTTTTATCTGTGTGTTTGGGAGTACCACAAGACTGTACTGGCCAAGGTTGGCCAATCAACACTGAAGACAACTGGAAAAATGCCTATGAGATCAGATTATGAGGTATCTGGAGACAATGGGAGACATTTAGTCACCTGAGATTCTTCCAATATTCGTGTCTGGCCCAAAGGAATAAGTCCAGATAATTCAGTGTTATAAAGCCTCCTTGGACTCCCAGAGCTCCAGGTTCAAAGGACCCTAGTCTCTGGCTCTAACAGCTTCCCCATCACTTGACCTGACTTCCTCCCCATTTGTCCAGGTTCCAGTGGGGATCCTGAAGAGGTCAAGTTCCTGCCAATCAATTCTGCTGGAGCCCATTCTTCTCTAACTGATCATGCCCCATTTCCGTGTTTTAAAGTTCCTCTCTGAGGGGAAAGCTCACCCAGAACACCAGTAGTACTGCTAGTGAGGTGGCAATGGTCCCACTGTCCCAGGGGGTATGCTGGACTCAGTTCAGACCAGCTTATGGAAAGCCCATTGTTAAATTTTCAAAGTGAATGTTTATACCTCAGAAACTGTGCCTGCTCCACGCCTTTCTCCTTCCTTCCACTCATCCACTCAGGTTCTTCCTCGTTGTGGCCATTATTTCTTCTCTTTTCTAGGGTCTAAGTACTTCATGCAAGGACTTCAGGAGATAGTAAGTAACCCACAAAGTAACATGGGAGTGGAATGGGATACAGGAGAGGGGAAACAGTGGAAAGAGTGCTGGACCTAAAGTCCGGAAGACCTCAGTTTAAATCCTGCCTCGGATGTTTACTAACTAGACAATTCATTTAACCTCTTTCAGTTTCAGTTTCCTCATCTGTAAAATGAAGATAACACCTCCTTCAAAGGTTGCTTTGAGTGTTAAATGTGATAATACATGTAAAGTGTTCTACTATTAGTGGGCTGATGCCCTTGGAAACTGTTTTACAGACACGGCCCCATATAGATCTAGCCAATGTTTTTGAGTTACTCACCTTCACAATTTCTGTATTATCAAATCCATGGTATAGGATGGGAAAACAGACTGAAAGGGAGAGCAACTTACTTTAGCCCTAGTAAAGGTTAAAAACTAAAGTCAATAATCCTGTTTGCCTCTTTGCCCAAGGGCCAAGGCTCAAGCTTTGCTTGGGCACTGGACCAAAAAGGTCCTCCCACACAGAGATGACTCCCAAGTCCACGACCAAGCCTACGATCCCTTTCTCCACCAAAAGGACAGAAGTGGTGTCTGCTAAGATATTTAATAGCACTGGTAGATTGTAGTTTACTGTCCTTCTTTTCACCCAAGGTTATTTTGAGAATTTAAATAAGAGAAGATGGATAGGAAGGAGGAGGCTTAACTAACATTTCTGACAAAGCAGACCAGATACAATTTACTAGAGAAAACTGCTGAATATCAAAGGCATTCGTTTAGAAGAGTCACACCAAAAGGACTGCTTTGTAGCTGTAGAGCCCAACCTCCTTCCCACTCTTCCCACAAGGTCCTTCGTGTACTTTTTACCCAGGGTGTGCTATCTGATCTCTTCCCAGATATCACTGCTGAAGATACTTAAAATGTAGACTCCTCTCCTCCCCCTCCTCCTCCTCCTCCCCTCCTTTTCCTCCCCTCCTCCTCCTCCTCCTCCTCCCCTCCTTTTCCTCCCCTCCTCCTCCTCCTCTTCATCCCCTCCTCTTCCTCCCCTCCTCCTCCTCTCCTCCTCCTCCCCTCCTCTTCCTCCCCTCCTCCTCCCCCTCCCCCCTCCTCCTCTCCTCCTCCTCCCCCTTTTCCTCCTC